CTCTCTCGCTCTCTGCTCTCTCCCTCTCTCTCCGCTCTCTCTCTCGCCCTCTGATGCAGATGAAGCTACGTACCTCCTATACTCCCTCCCAACCGTCATTATTTAATGAAGCATGTTTCCTTGCTGCCTCCATTTTTCTATTCCTTCTTTTGACGTTTTCACTTCTTTTTTCGAATTTGGCGTGTTCCAGGCTTCTTCTCCTGCTTCTGAGGGCTCCCAGAGGCTTTTGGGGGTGGTGTCGGTGATGTGTGTCTCGGGGGGTGGTTAAAGAAAAAAGGCTGGTGGGGCCCGGCGAATTCTGCTGGTTTGGACTTTAGGCTTTTGGTCGCCATTCATTTGCGCAATCTGCCCCCCTTCGTTCTTGGTCGCGCATGGTCATAATGTTGCGCTCTGTGCTCTGTACGTTTTCGTGGAGTCGTACTTGTTCCAGTCGTTGGATAAGGCCAGAAATATGGTGCTGACTTTCTTGAATTTTTCTGGACAACGACCGGACCGGAAAGCAAATTTGGTGGCTTTTCCTCGCATTTTTGGCTTTATCTCCTTCTCGTGCTCTATCTTTCTGTCTCTCTTTCCCTGACTCTCTCTCTACTCTCGCTTTCTCTCTCTCTCCCTCCCTCTCTTTCTCTCTCACCCTTCTCTCTCGCTCCCTCTTCTTCTTCCCTACTTCTTTTTAATGAGGGCAGCTGCCACTCGTGCCAATTTTACATTAGTTTTTTTCGAGAAGCGTAATTAGTGCAATTCGTGTACTCTTTAAAATGAGCAGCCGTCACTAAGGAATTCCATTACAGTAATCTTGTTTCATAAATTATATCTTCCTAGAACTTGCTTTTTTGTCAGAAAAGTCGAAAAATCGCCTGCAAACGGGTTTTTCGACAAAACGTGGGGCGTTATGGCCCTATGCAAACCTCGGCATCAACCTTTTGTGGCTAGGTGATCATCGAAACACCGAGAACACCTAGTTTTGCTGGCTATTTGGAATATTATAGCAAGCTCTCCCTCGCTTTTCTAGATGGTTTCACATAGCTCAAAATTAAAGGCCCATTCGGCCTCCCGCTCTCTTCTTTTCCGTCCTGTTCTCCCCATTTCCGAGAAAAGCATTCCCGGCGCCGCCCGGCGGGAAATATGTGCGAAATTCCAGAATCCCAGGAAATTTTTGATACAGATTTTGTGTCGATTTTTTTAGTGGTTGGCGCTCGTGGGAGGATGCCTCGGGGCAGCGCAGGGAAAACAAAGGGCTCGCGGTTTTATGTAAGCTCGGGATTGGCCTTTGATTTTTGAGTAGAGCGAGAGAGCGAGAGAGACAGAGCAACGATAAAGGACTATCTGCTAATCATATGCTTCATATTGAGTTTGTTATTTTTATGACCTGTCACAGTCGCACTCTCTCTCTCTCTCTCTCGTTCGTTCTCATGTTGTCACGTTCTACCTTTACATAGTTTTGCGGGCTTGCTGCCGTTCTCCTCTAATCGAATTAATGCTGGATTTTGAACTCCTACGTTTCTTTAGATACTCTCCTCAAAACCTAGGTTTACCGTATCGTGAATTGTACCGCTCTCTTCCTTTCTCTATGTCTCTCGCTGTACCTCTCTATCTCTCGCTCTTACTCTCTGCCTCTCTCTTGCTCTCTCTCTCTCTCTCTTGCTCTAGCTGTCTCTCTGGCTCCATATCCGCCTATTTAATTTTTAACGCTAATTCCTCTACCAAATCTCCCGATTTTCCCCTCTGATTGCCCTAGAGGCACGAAAAACAACAATGAGCCGTTGCCGGGATTTTTGTCCCTCCCCCTCGGATCCCAGGGATTCCCAGGTAATCTCAGGGTCCGGTCGGGGTGTCTACACACCCCTCGAAAAATTACGGGTAGCTCCTTTTTAGCTTCTTCACCTCCCCTTTTTGGCCGTCTCTTCGGCAGCCTGGCAACGGGGGAATTCTCAGCCCTATTCTTTTCCCCTCAATACACACCTTTTCTCGCCTCTACCTGGATATCTTGCCCCTCCACACCCATTGTTTTTATTTGATTGCTGTTTTTGGGGCTGGCCCCAAGATTCTGGACCGGAGGAGATTGGGATTGGCAGATTTTGGTTTTTGATTTTGTGATTTTAAGGGATTCTCACGCTTTATGATAGTACTCGAAATTTGTAGCATGTACTACTCCGAATTTTTCAGTTTTTTTTTCTTCGTCTTGGATTTTCGGGTTCTGGTGTTTTTTATCTGCGTAATTTGGAGCCTCCTGTACTTCGAATACCTCGGTTTGACTATCCAACCAAAGTCCATTACGTGCAATTTGCTCCGGCTGCTTTTCTCTCGTTTTTAACTTTTCTGATGTTTTTCTTTAACTATGCGCACAGGTTTCCAGAATTTTAAAGAATTACTCAATTGATGAGAAGTTCCGGATCCTGGACCTGAAATTGTAAACAGTTCATCTCGCAGAAAAAGTACATAACATCGGCGAGATGAAAGCTAAAAGGCAATTGCCATGGACCCCCGGCCTCGCTGTCAATTCGCCTCGATAATGTTTTGTGCAAACTGTCGCTATCAACCAGCCGGGGCCGAGGGTCTGTCCTCTAGGCAATGGACCCGAATCGTCTGATCTTTTAGGAACTGTCTGGTCAAAGTTTAGCCTGTTTAAAGGAATGGTGAAGACTAATTTCCAATGGCCGCTTTTGGAAAATAGACGCCGCATTAATGAGTTCAAAAATAGTCTTATTTTGTTGTTTGTTTATTACTTATTATTAACCTATTTTTGTAAACTTTGCAATATTAATATATCAATATCGTACAACTATTTTTCTTGCTCACATACTCGTTCCACTGCTCACCTAGTCAACCTCCTCCCCCAATCCGGCAAAAGCTCCATATTTACTCAGCGGTCTCGTCATTTTGTTCCAACAATTCCACCCCTTGGGTGGGTCCAGGCAAAACTTCAGCACCCAGATTACGTAGGCGGCCCAGTAGCGACTGCTCCCGCCGGGTGACTAAAAAATAAGATAAAAATAACCCTTTGTTCCTCTTTGCCCCCGCTTAATTAATCCGATCTTAATGCAACCGGGTGTTCACGGGGGCGTCACAGGAATTTCTGCCTGAATGCGTTTCAGTCTGGATTCAAATTTTGACACAGGAATGCGAAAAATTCCTTTAAAAATTATTGAAAAGAACTAAAATATATTCTATAGTCTTTATGATGATCTTTCAACTTGAAAATTCTATCAAAAAGAGGCGTGAAAATGATGATTTTTTCACTTGGAATACCTTGTGCGTCATCTTTTGTGAGACTTGAATAGCGTCTATCTCTCTCGTTTTCTCTCCCTCTCTCTCACTCTCTCTCTCGCTCTCTCTCTCTCCCTCTCTCTCTTGGTTACTTAAAAAAATGCCTCCTTTTCAGTGATCAAATGCAGTGATGCCGTCCGCGGTGTCACGATCCCTCCCCGGAGTCTCTGAAATAGCCACGGCGCTGCCGTTAATAGGTATGTAACGGAGTCTAAAAAACTAGCTAGACAAGCTAGCAAAGATCCTCAAGGAATCTCGTTGAACCCAACCAAAATCTGATTTTTCCAGCCTCAATCATCGACGGAAATGACACACTTGCCGCCCAGCCGGAGGACTTTGAGCCCATCCACGATCCTCATCACACGGGTCAATTTTTCCACTTTGACGAGACGGGAGCGCCACTCACGATTTTGGCCATCATCGCGTTGATCGGGTTTTTGAAGACAGGTACGATTCTTAATATCTCTCTCTCTCTCTCTCTCTCTTACTCTTTATCTCTTTATCTCTCGCTCTCTCGCTCTCTCTCTCTCTCGCTCTCGCTTGTTCTCACATACAAAATACTTTTCAGCCCTAATTAAAGCCCGAGGCGTGCCCCACTCGGTCCTGTTGCTCATCTTCGGCTCAGCCGCCGGCTTCATCTTAACACGGGTCATCACGCAAGACGTAAGTCTTGAAAATATACCTTAAACGCTATAGAAAAATACATTAATCCATTGCTTTTAGTTATATCTGCGTCCACAATGGTTCTTCTACTACATGCTGCCCCCAATCGTGTTAGAAGCCGGGTATTTCCTGAAGAACAAGGACTTTTTCCACAATCTCGGGACGATCACACTTTTTGCTGTGATCGGGACGATTATGAATACGGCGATGATTGGTGAGTAAATAGCTGGAATTTTATATCTTTTGAGATATCCAAATTCTTTAAATTGATTCTCTGGTTCGAGAATTTCTGATTTTATCCCGGCTGAAAGGTGTCGTGACACTATTTTTGAAACTCAAAAAATCACCTAAAGCAGTTTTTCTAAAAATGAGCTCTTTAAAATGAGCCCGAGCTTTATTTTTAGCCGCCATGCTCTACGCGGCACGCGGTTGGTTTACCATCAATTTGTCGTTGCTCGAGATCACGCTGTTCTCAATCCTGATCTGCGCTGTAGATCCGGTCGCTGTTTTGTGTGTATTTGAGGTAAGTAGGTCTGTAATAAGATCTCCAATAACTTGTCCTTTAACCGCATAAATTTGAGGAATTCAGTAAACCTGGAATACCTCATCGATTTAGGATATCCACGTCAACGAGCTGCTGTACATTTGCGTATTCGGAGAAAGTCTGCTCAACGATGCCGTCACCATTGTAAGTCTCTGGAGTACTTAACGTCTTGCTACGTACGGTACGCAGGCCAAGTAGTGTGCGCCCTGTAACGTACTACTAGGGAAAGCAAATGCGGAGTACGGTAGGTATTGGCATTCATCGCGCTACAGGCCAAAGATTGTCGGTACTGCTACTTAATTTACCTAATGATACCACTTTTTGAATAATAGCTGTATGAGCTATATTCCAAGTTTGTCTTTAGGTTCTGTTCAACACCGTCTCCTCGTTGGTGACAAGTTCGACCGGCGGTGCAAATCAGATCACGATCGGTGCAGCGGAGTGTGGACAAGCCTTGGGGCACTTCTTCCGGGTATCATTAGGCGGAATCGGATGCGGAGTAGTTGGCGGATATCTTACAGTGCTATTTATGAGGTGAGAGAGAGCTAGAGAGAGATAGAGATAGAGATAGAGAGAGACAGAGACAGAGAGAGAATAGTCAAATTCTATAGCTGTTTTTCAGATTCCTCGTCACCTTCCAAATCGCCCAGCCCATCAACCTCATCGCTTGCCCGATCGTGTGCTATTTGTTGACCGAAAGCATGCATTTATCGGCAATTCTATCGTCAGTACTTACTTGATGATATCGTATCTCCATTTTGATTAAATCGAAGATATCATTAGTGCGCGCTTTTAGCCTCGTCGTAATCGGTATCATCATGAAGAACTACATGCCGGGCAACGTCTCCGATCCGATGGTGTTTACGGTGGAATACCTCCTGAAGATGGGCTCGTCTTAGTAAGTTTTTTCATTGCGTAATCGGACAAGCTGATTTTTTTATTAATTTGGTGCTAAACCAGGCGAGCTAGCAGAAAAACTTTGGGAAAATTGCGATACTCAATGGTCCTTTAGTTCCGAATCCCTCGTTTTCGTATTCCTTGGCGTCTCCGTCGTCTCCTCGAACCACCAGTTCGATTTCTGGTTCGTCACCTGTACACTGACCGGATGTTTAGTTTTCCGGTTTATAGGTATGTTTCGAGTTTCGAGGAGCGAGTATTTATCTAACTGTTTAGTCGTCTACTTCCTCAGCTTCATGGCCAACAGGTACCGCGCGGAGACGGAGCGTATCAGCATCGTCGACCAGTTCGTGATTGCTTATGGAGGAATTCGAGGTAAAGATAGAGCGAGTGCGAGAGCGAGAGGGCAAGATAGAGAGAGAGAGAGGGAGAGAGAGAAGGAGAGAGAGAGAGAGCGTCAGCGCCAGAGAAAAATCTGAATTTTCAGGAGCCGTCTGCTACGGTCTCGTCATGGCCATCGACGAGAACTTTTTCCCGGCTAAACAAATGTTTGTCACGACAACACTGGTCGTCATTTTCTTCACTACGATTGTTCAGGTACGAGACACTACTTACTACAGTAACCAAAACTAAAAAAAGCAATTCGTAATAATTTTTCTTAACAATTTCGTAATTTTTCAAGTTTTTGGCGTCTTTTTCAAGTTATTTTTGACTTCTAGGGCTCCACCATCAAGAAACTTGTCGAGTGGTTGAAGGTCAAGCGCAGCAAGAACTTTGGAAAAGAATCCGAGAAGAAGCGGGTCATCGACTACTTCTTCGGCGAGACCAACAAGCATCTGATGTTCTACATTGAGGACTTGATAGCGCACCATGGACAGAATTGGGTAACCAATTTTCTATTTTATGGAAAACCCATATTCTTTTTTCAGTTCTTCCGAAAATTCCTTGAGAAAGACCGGAAATGGATCAAGCCGTTTTTGGTGGCAAACTACAAGCATTTGGATTGTCAAATTGTTGTGCAGCACCAGCGGCTTGAACTTGACGAATATGCTTGTAATATCAGGTCTGCATTTTTGAAGTCGGCATCTATCTCCCACTCTCTCTCTCCTTCTCTCTCTCACTCTCTCTCTCTCTCTCTCTCTCTCTCTCTCTCCAATCCCTTCGTTTCAGAGGCCAAGGCGGCTCCTTCGCGGGTCTACCCACCGTCTCCTCCCTCGCCGACATGCAGCTCCACCCTGGCCTCCCCAAGTCAAAATCCGAGGCCCTACTGGCACCTCGTATCCTCGACCCGTACGCGCTAGGCTCCACGTTTGTCGGGCTTCTCCAGGAGCCCCAGCAACACCATCCCCAGCCACCGCAGCCACAGCTGCTTCCGGCACTTCCACAAAAAACACAGCTACTCTGGCAACTCGCCGCCGCCAAATCGGCCCCCTCACGGCGCCTGCGCTTCACCCGCGCCCACACAATTGGGTCCCGGTACGACGGGGCCTCTGGCTTGAAAATAGGCCACGCCCACACTCACGCACGCTTGATCACGCTCAGTTTTGAGCTAGAGATCACGCTTCCTCTGACGCAGATTCTGTTCCGCCGAAAATTTTGTCGTATCGTGGCGCTATTCGGTGTAGATGGAGATTGTGGATTTGGTTCTGCAAGGCTATTTTTTCGAACATAAGTTAGCGTTTTTGCTATGAAAAAAGTAACGTATGGTAGTCGACTCGACGCGGACGCCGCGCTTCAGCACCATACCAGATTTTTTTAAAGGGATCGGCAAGGCCTATCAGCCACGAAATCCATCGATTATTTTGAAATTGCGCGGAGTTAAAATTCACTAATTTTTAAAGAATTTTTTGGTTTTTGTCCGGACGGATATATTTTATTTACGTTACGCCACCGTTCTGGTATGCAAATTATTGGTAGGAAGATAGGGTAGGCTAGCAGAGACCATTTGTTAAATTCTGCGCCATTTGAGAAGAACAAATTAGCGTTTTTGTGTTTTTTGAATCGGTTGGCTAGCACTGATTTTTTTGCGAGTTTCATAGGTGGTATCTGAAAAATATTAGAAACAGGGAGACTAGCAGGCTTTTTGGTGATTTTCATGCAGCTCCAAATCTAGCAGAGATTCATGAGAAAACCTCCGAGTTTGGATTTTTCGTGATTTGGATCCGATAGCCCTTGCAAAATCGATTTTTCTACCGAAAAACTGAACCTTCAAAACCAAATCTACCTCCCTTTCACCTCAAAAATTACCATTTCAAAACTACCGTAACCCACACCACTATACACTATCTTCAAGTCACGATATTCTATAGGACACTGTAATAGATACTATCTCTACCTAACCACATGCAAAAACACGGAACGCAGCTCGGCTCTGGTGTGTTGGTGCTCCATGGAGTTTGTCCCTATTCTTTTAACCGAATTTTCGACGTGAAAATGCCATTTTAGGCCTGTGGACATCACCTTCTCGCCGGATCTTACGGAACGTTCCACGTTACTGCCGGTTCCACCTCCAAGCCAAAGATCTATCCCGAGAAACGAGAGCTTGTCCGGCTTCGTGCGCGAGGCCTTCGAGACTGCGGCGATTCAACAAGGAAGGGGATCGCTTCGAGACAAGGTAAACGATGTTTTACAGGTACTAGGACGCTAAAAAGCCTATATATTCTTCCGTTTTAAAGGGATTTTATATGCTGAAATTTGTTACTTTTAAAAATCAACATTTTGTTAGCTTTCCAGTCCCTTTAAAAACCCTAGGGGCTACCGAAGGCAAAATACGGTCGTTATAAGCTTTCTTCATCCGCTTCAATCGTTTTTATTGCGTGCAAAGAATTTGGGGCACTCTTAAAGGAGCTAGAAAGGCTAAATTTATTTTTCCAAGCTTTGCTAGCCCCTTTAAAGGCTCTTGAGCTCAAAAAAAATGGCTGCAGAAGAGCTCAAAAATCCTGATCCCAACACTAACCCGCTTGAAAAAGCATAATTCACCACTGATCAAGGAATCCTCACTTTCTTTGCTCGCTTGCGTTTGCCTCATTTGCTTGTCGTGCCGTGTGAACTTAAACATATATTAGAAGCCGTTTGAATTAAGTTTAGACCTAAAAACGTCAAAATGTAGCTAATAACTTTTTCATTTTTAATTTTCGTAGTTTCTCAGGTTTCTATTTATTCTTATTTTTAGCCGTTCTAACCTTTTTCTTTATTTCCCAAGGTAACACCAGCGCGTTTTGAATTTCTTAGCTAAAGTGGCCTCAAATAAAAACAGAGAAAATCTAGATAAAATAAATGAGAATATCAATAAAATCAGCTATCGACTTTTCTATGCTGAGGAAAGTTTGCATGCGCCAGCGAACAAAGGGGTTTTTAGGTTGAGAAAGCTCTAAAACGTTATTCAAAAATCGAACAAAATGACTTTCCTTACGTTGTGTGGAGTGTACTGTGGCCTGATCCCCCTACCCTGAAACCGCGTTTTTTATTTGGCAGGACTACGACTACGGAGACGGTCGGCGAAATGGTTTCCGGCAACGGGTCCGTAAGCCTACTAGGAGAGATTTGAGTGTCGTCGATGGACCCAAGCCTATCTTCCAAGTTACGCTGATTCCGAATCAGGTAGTTTCGGAATAGCTGCCCTCGAAAGCTATGAACGATTAACCCCCAAACCCCAATCGGCTACTTTCAATGTCATAAAGCTTGGAAGGTTTTGACAAACCAGATAGTGCACTTGTTCAGAAACAAATCTCTATAAAATGTACCATCTTTTCCAGAATCATTAAAAAGTTGGAAAAATTTGATACATTGGGAGGTCCATAATTTTACAAAATTTTTCAAAATTCCAGCATTTTTTAGTTAAGTAGCTTATTTTATAGAGAATTTGTTTCTGAACAAGTTGCACTATCTGGTTTTGTCTAAAACCGATTTCGAAGCCTTTTATGTCTATTGAAAGTAGCCGATTTTGGACTGTTTTGAGGTTTAAATCATTCATAACTTTCGAGAACTGGCTATTCCGCAAAAACGGTTACCTGATTCGGAATCAGCGTAAAATTCTGCACAAGATAGGCTTGGTCCCGTGCCAAAGTCCCGACGACACTCAAAAACGTCTCCTTGTTAGTGTCGCCAGGCAGCAAAGATACAAAACATAAGAACAGTTCTTATTAGTTCATGTTGGTTGTGTCCTCATTCCGGTGGTGTTGGTTGGGCGGGAGAAAAATAGCGAAAGAGAGAGAGAGAGAGAGAGAGAGAGAGAGAGAGAGAGAGAGAGGGAGGAAGCGTCAGCGAGCGAGGGAGAGATAGAGGAGGGGAGCGAGAGAGAGAGAGAGGCTGAGGGAGAGAGAGAGGGAGAGAGGAGAGAGAGAGTGAGAGAGAGTGAGAGAGAGTGAGGGAGAGAGAGCAGAGAGCGAGAGAGATAGAAGGCGTGACAGCGAGAGCCCGGAGATAGAAAGAAGCAAGACACGGTTTTTCTGATTTCAAAATTCCCAACCAACCCCAAAAATTACTAACCACACCTATCCCCTGCATCTCTATAAAAATTATGCAAAATCAATATGCATGGCTGAGTTTTGGGTTCGATTGGGTTGCTGTTTAGCCCGAGTGCTTGTCGTGCATGAGATTGGCTAGGTTTTTTTGCTATGTACAATCTTCTGGCCTTTCATTTATAGAAATCGTTTAATTTCTCTTATTCTGAAATATACCTATTTTTCAGCGGCGCTCCCTCTACAGTCGTCACTTGCTGGACCTGGACTTTGATGAGGAGGTAAAATTTCCTCTTTTTTTTGTTACGTTACTATCTTTATAAATTTTCGAATTTCAGCAACGTAGACTCGAAATTTCAATGCTTTTGGTAAAGAGGCCGCAGTATCTTTGGGTCTTTGGGATGGAATGAAAATTTTTTGGGAAAATTTAGGATGTCCGTCCAGGCTTCAGCTTTAAGTCAATTTTTGGGTTTTTCAATGTTCATGCTAGGTTTTATTCACTGTTTATTTTTTAATGGATCACCCGCTTGGGAGAGAGATAAAAGGCAAGAGAGACAGAGAGAAAGGGAGCGAGACAAAGAGAGGGAGAGAGAGAGAGAGAGAGAGAAGAGAGAGAGACAGGTGCGCGCCCCAAAAGTGAAAGAAAGAAAACCAGCTGGATGGAATGCTAAACAAAAGTTACAAAAAGCTTGCAAAATCCAAAGTTTAGGTGAAAGTAGGCTAACAGCGATTCCTTAGGAAAAACGTAATTCACAGAGTTTATTAGGAAAAGATAAATTAGCAGAAACTCTTGATTAAAGCAACCTTTTGGAGAGAAATTCGCTCGTTATAAATAATAATATAAAAAGATCAAATTTTCCTTTTTGTTGGCGCTCAAAAATAACAAATAAGTTTTGGTTCCAAATATTGAGTTCTAATTTGCATACGTTTCACTAACAGATGCTCTCGAGCCGGGGGGACACCCTCGAGGTCCCTGGCCACGATTCGAGGCGTAGAACGAGCAAAACCTGGCACCGGGTATCGTTCTGGAGAGAGAGATACAGCGTTCTGTGTTCAGCTATCAATTAATTGTCTTTGACCATTTTTATACTTTATTTTTCTTTTAATGGTGGGTGGGGGAACGGTGAATGGGATAAATTTTTTTGATTTTTTATCGATATTTCGAAAAAATCTAGATTTTTCCTTTTATCCACTAGCTTGAAAAATTTATTTGCGTACGTATTGAGAATTTCTAGAATCTAAAAACCTAAATTTGGCGTCGCAAACGTCGAAAAACTTTAAAATGCGCCAAAAGATGGAAAACGGGTTTTTTTCGCTAAGTCTCGCATTTTGAATCATTTTTTGGGCGCCCAAATTGCTTCCATTCCCCTTTAAACGTTCCAGACTGGAAAAAAGGCTAAAAACATCTTTCTAAATACCCTAAAAATCCTAAATTCCACTACACTACGCTCCCCAACACTGTTCCCCTACCCCCATGGCAGCCGGTTATTTTGGATGGCTTCCTTTAGTGTGCCTTCTATCTTCTATCAATAGTTTCGATTGGTAGCGCAACATTTATGTGCTCTGCGTCCACAGTCGATACTAACGACAATTGCGTGTGCACGATTCTCGAGGGCCTTCCAAAATTTTGTGTTTTAGGATCCACCAGCCCCGGAGGAGTACGACAACAACATGACCTATCCGTACAATAAATTCACCGGAGCTCGAACGGCCAAGCAGATCAAGGCTTATGGGAAGAGCTTGAGGGTAAGCGAGTGGAGTAGAGAGAGAGAGCGAGAGAGAGAAAGAGAGAGAGAGAGAGAGAGAGAGAGAGCAGAGGGAGAGAAGGAGGAGATAGGCGGAAAGACTGGGAAAGAGAGCGGGGTGAGAGCGAGAGAGAGAGAGAGAGAGAGAGAGAGAGAGAGAGAGAGAGAGAGAGAGAGAGAGAGAGCGAGCGAGCGAGTTGGAGAGAAACTAGCTAACATGTGGCGTAGAAGAGTTCCCTGAGAATGCGGTAGCTAGCAGTGATTCTTTGGGAACCGCAAACCGGAAGGTAAGCTTAGTTAGCAGTTGGCAGAAAACGTCGGAAATCTTACTAGGGAAGTGCAAATAAAAATTCCGGCAAACCGCTTAGAAAAAATATGGGTCTGATAGAGTCGGCGACGGGGATTCCGAAACTCAATCAGAATTTCAAACGCTAATACAAAAGTTATGGTATTTTAGTTTTGCACCACGTCCTCGGCCCGCCTTTATGGGCCCCTCCCAAAGAGAGGTGACCGCCTGTCGAGTGGTGTAGTGGCTAACTAACCTGCCTCTGTGGCGGAGGGTCTCTGGTTCGACTCCCCGGTCATGCAAAACGTTTGCTTTTTGGTCAAGTCAACACTTTGAGTTTTTAAGTTTCAAAGTCGAAAAGGCCGTTCTCTTAATTTTTAAATTCATGAAACCGATTACAAAGTGGTGGCGGGAGTGCAAGTAATTTTGCAGGTGGGCACCAAAAATTCACCTCTGTTTTTACGTAACGTATGCCTACACGCAGTCAATAATATAGAATGTTAAATCTAAATTTCGGTCTTCGAAGCTTTGAAAAGTGTGGAGTTGTTGCCTTGACCAAAAGCAAAGTTTTGCATGACCGGGGAGCCGAACCAGAGACCCTCCGCCACAGAGGCAGGCTAGTTAGCCACTACACCACTCGACAGGCTTGCGCTACACCTCTTTGGGAGGGGCTCATAAGGGCGGGCCGAGAACCGGTCAAACTTAAAATGCTCATCTTTTTTTTATTAGCGTTTTGCAATTCTGTTGCAGTTTCATCCCGTCGCCGACCCTATCGACCGATATTTTGCTAGCGGTTTGCCGGATTTTTTATTTGCACTTCCCTAGTTAGAGTTTTTCTGTGGGGATCAGAGTCGGTTAGCAAAAATTCGTAAGGAGCGTTTGGAGTTCATCACTTCCTTTAGGAACGAGGCCCAGTCTCTCCTCGAATCTTCCAGAAGCGCAACGGAAACGATCAACAATCGAGTGCTAGGGATACGTCACCACGTAAGTAACGGTTTATTGCATGGCGTGACGTGCTGAGTATATGAGATGTAGAGAACCACGGCTTTCCTGTAGCCGGGGTGGGCCAGCCAAAAAAAAACTCTAAAAATTGAGAATTTTCACAATTATCGTAAAGATAGGAAATCCGTATTTGGAAAACACAAAATTCTCTTTTTATTGAAACTGCAGATGAATGCGATCCGGTGTTTTGCGAAGAGCTCAAAAGCGAGAGAGAGAGACAGACAACGAGAGAGAGAGAGAGAGAGAGAGAGAGAGAGAGGAGAGAGCGGGAGAGGCGGAGAGAGAGATGCTGAATGCCAAGAAATGAAACTTTCAAAATACATGGTATCTGCAACCTGTCACCATCCCTTTAAAACCGACCTGGCTGGCCCACCCAACCCATTTTTCTACGCGCATGCCCTAGCTAAAAATAACCCGCCGGAATGGTTTGTGGAGTCCCGAAATTTTTAGCGCAACCCGCCGGAATCCTGGGGGCTAGGCACCGGTTATCACTGCCCACTCCGGACGAGATCAACCTCAAGCGGAAACCCCCGAAAATCTCGTTCGCCATGTACGACGAGACCATACCGCCTATTGACCAAACTGCCCCACCGACGGCTAGGCGTAAGTTTTGGGGAATTGGCGTTTTTTTGGATTTGGATGATGATGTGTGCGCCTTAACCCGATGGCTTTTTGGTTTCGATATGGAGACAGGCAAATAATGGAAAGTTAAAGCTATATTAAGGAAGCAAAAAAGTTCAAAAATGTTGGTAAGAGAGGGAGGGAGAGAGAGCGAGGAGAGAGAGCGAGAGAGAGAGAGAGAGAGAGAGAGAGAGAGAGAGAGAGAGAGAGAGAAAGAGAGAGAGAGGGAAAGCGAGAGAGCGTGGAAGAGCCAGACCTAGAGAGAGAAAGAGAACTGAGGGAGAGAAGTTCGTGAAAAATCCAGCCGAATAAAACAACCTTTTCCTTGAGTTAAATTATGATTTTCGCAGTTTTATCTGACGCGAATTTTTATCTAACTCTTGTAAAAAAATTTAGGCAGATATATTGGGGTATTTGGTATTTTAAAGGGAGCGTGACAGAAATGTGTCGATGAAATGTTTTCCCATTCTCTTTAAGTCCGAAAAAAGGTTCAGAACAGCGCTATGCAGCTGGGGCTTCACCGATTACGTTATGAAATTCCTGGGTTTTTTATTTCTTATGGGATGGAAAATAAAAATACACTCCGCACCTCTAAACACACCTACCACACCCCTACAGGTTCCCCCGCGGCGCGACGGCGGCACCCCAAGCGCCCCCGCCGCCACCGCCACCCCCCACCGGGCCGCTAACCGTTTCAGGGTTGATGAACATTGTGTTCCCCTGTGCTAATGGATAGGTAAAACGAGCCGCAAGAAACGCATGCAAATTCTGGAATGGCCCGTTGTGATGTGGTGACATGTTGTGTGGTTTTGCGCGAAAAATCCGGATCCTGGGAGTCGAAAAATATCATAACTTTCTAGTTTGAAGGCCTAGCGCTTTGAATTTTTGACAGTAAGTGCAAATCAGTTAACACTATTAATCAGCAATTTTAGAGCTTAAAATATTCCATAATAAGCAAATCCTACTATCCTACTATATATAAAAAAATAGTTCCTGTGTGTGTGTGTGTGTATGTGTGTGCATTTGCATGCGACTTCCGTCAGCGTGTTCCAGTGGTATCAGATTAGGGGAAGGACTTAAAGGTATATATGATACGTCATTAGATGCGTAAAGGTCTAGGGATGACTGCACGCATATCAACTTCTTGAAAATATACTGTTTTCGACATTAAAATTCAGTTTTTCTTGAAAAATTGGTCACCGCTCTTTGTTAGGAAACGATTAGCATGCGCCGGAAAAGGCGGAAGGCTATATAACGGAGAGAGGCAGCCTTTTTTCACTATTTCTGATCGCGATTCGCGCGAATTATGCAAAGTGTTGAATTTCATGGTTTTGGGACGGGGCCAGGGTTGAAAAGTCGCGAAGCGGCTTTTCAACCCTGGTTGCAGTTAAAATATTATAAAATTTTCTAGTTTTTTTTTTGAGGTTTTCGGGCGAATTTTTCGAAATTCGCATGGTAGCTTCAAACATTAACGTGAATTAAGTAAAGACCATGGCTTGAGAAATTTCGAGCTTAAAAAATTACGTTATGAGAAAGTTAGAG